TTTATAATAAACATGGCCATTGCACATGCTCAACATCAGTATAAACAGATGCAGATCAACAGCTATAAAGTTTACTGCTCTGAGGTTCTGCAACAGCTGCACAAAAACCAAGGTACAGGCTAACAGCGGCGAAGTGAAAACTGCTCTTCAATAACCTTAATTATTAACCTCAAGGCCTTACAAGCTTAATTAAATCGCAACTGCTAATTAGCTGTTGTGAAATGATCTATTTATGACGTATCAAGATGTTTCACGGGCACAGACAGTTTATGGACAAAGTGAACAGTGTATTTAAAAATAGGTACAAACAGAACAATGTGTTATAGTTAGGGTTAGGCAACGCATTTCAAACGCATTTCATACGAAATGGCTCAGCCTGTCGTCCAGGCTCTGTCACGCATGCACACAATTTTATTTTGCAGCGCGATTAACAAGAATTTGTACTTAATATATACATCACGAAATTTACGGCACAGTAGCGAACTCTCACCCAGCAGCGAGAGAGGCAGCCAGCGCTAACATCACGCACCTGATTCAGGAATGCCACACACTTATCCAATGTTGCCCTCGTGCAGAATACAGCGACTCCGCCGTTAGTGAGGCGCTCCTTGGGCGCCGGCGGAGACGGAGGGAAGATGTCGTCGAGCGATCGGTTGACGTCGCCGTTGTGACATTCGTGGATGCTTCGCGTCGCTGGCACGGCGAGCGTTTGCGACTTGGTGAGGTATTGGAGCACGTCATCCTGACGATGCGCCTCGCCGTGACTCCAGTCTCCCATGCTGTTGCGCTGCAGGAGGTTAGAACAAGAGGTTAGAAAAACGAGAATGAGCGCAGAAATTAAACTGAGGAAGATTCACAGGTTTTACTGATGAAAAATCCGGATGAAAGCTTCGGTGAACGTCTATTTTTCTGCTAATCGCATCTGCCTGTCCGATATTCCTTCAGCATCATTCCCTATATATATATATATATATATATGATCAGAAGTAGATAATAGATATCAGAAGTAGATAATTCCCTATTATCTATTTCTGATATATATGCAGAACTTTACAAAAGTTTATAATTATATATTTTACATGCAAAACAAAAAAATCGTATTGTAATTGGCATTGGCAACATCAATGCAAGTCAGCACCACCAATAAAAAAAGATTACCAAACTTTTAGTAGATAGTAGTATTCACAAGGATTAAAAAATACAGAAATGGACAAGGCGTTTGACTTTTTTATCTGGACCATGTGGTGAAACTGCAAGCTAGAACCTCTTGAAATAAGCACAAAAATAAGATGTATACTACAGTAGTTTAAGTGATAAGCATGAGATATAAACAGTAATGTTAACGATATATTTATAATTGTAACCTTGAACACAATAGATGCAATGTTTTGACAACTACAAATTTACCAAGTGTTATCATTAATAAATCGACATGTCTTCACCGTAGTTCACGCAGTACAGAGACTCTTGTTGAAGCCACGAGCTCAAATCTATTACCTTAAGTTTTTTCTAGCACTATTTTTATCACAGTGTCTTTGATACGTACGTTACAGCAGTACATGCACTTCTCTGAGCAGCACTGAGTCAAATGCGCGCACCAACTTCCAAGTTCCTGGCACCACATAGTAAATGTTTTCTTAGTAACAACACCTAACATCAAACTCAGCTAGGAATCTGCGTTTTTCAGTTGAATATGTTTGAAGAGTTACTGAAACTGTTTTCCTCCCAGGCTACAAAAACTTGAACTGCAACAGCCTCAGCCCTAATCTTCAAGGTTCCCGGCTGCGCTGGGATAAACAAATTTTCGAACGCTTACTCGTCCAATACACTCCGCAATTCAGAAGTCGGAATTTTGGCCGAAAAAGACAAGGATAAAAAGATATGCTGACGAAGACATCAAAACCTGGAGACCTACGAGAGAAAACTTCAATGCAAAACCTACAAAACATAAAACTCGATGAAAACCACGAATCAATTTCGTTCGCAGGCAGACGAACCACCGATGGTGACGACGGGAGCGATTTGCGAAGCCAACGAAATAATCCCCATCTACCTACCTGCCAGGTACGTCTTGCTGATCGCTCGTTCCAGTGAAAACACATGTATCCATCCATCACCCGGTGCTCCCCGCGAAATACAACACCGGCGGCTGCACCGTTTATTACGCCGGCAACCTACGCAGCCAGGCGGTCAACATAAAAACGTCAGAACCACTTCCTTCAGATTAACTCTCCCTCGCGGGTTCTTCGCGTCTCCATAAAATATTCAGCGCGGCGAAAAACATCGGTTCCTCCGTACGTCACGAGCGCGCGCGCACGCTGCAGAGGCCGCCGTACGGGCGCAGGGGAACAACGAAGACGAAGCCCACGCGTCGGCGAAGGATCCGTGCCACAGATGCAGCTTTCGGATATCACGACAGCTTCCCTCGAAATGAAAAATGTCCGAGGATTAGTGGATGCGTCTGACGACACGTGCGTCTTAGCAGTAATGCTGCCCCGCGCCGAGGGAGTCTTTGCTGCCAGATCAACTCACGTCACATGATGCGCGGAGGCGATCGCTCCGACATGTTCGCATCGAGTTATCGTCAATACGAGAAGAACGAATGAGTAGCTGCTCATTAATTATGCACACAGCCGCACACACGCACATAAATATGTAATCTCAGAGGAAAACACGCATTTGTTTCCAACTGCCGCGGGTATGCAAGCCTACCGGAGGCCACCAGCTATCTTGCTCACGGCTATGCCCCCGAAAATTCACACGAGTAACGCACAGTACCCAGAGATGAACGTGTAGTAAACTGCTGACGGAACAACTAAGACACTGTCTCTACCGTGCGATACCGTGCCCGAAATGTTTCCGACAACAGCGTTTCACAGGTCTGAGCGTTCGTTCGGCAACAGCGAATGCCAATCTGCATCTGCGGAAACCCAAATTCACGCAGCTGAGCATCGTCGGATGTGCGAAGAGGGAGGCTGGGAATGTGGTAGGCACGTGCAGGCTGCGCGTGTCAGTCAGTGCGTGCGAGCAAGAGTAATTAGAGCAGACGAACACATGTGTGGCAGGCAGCCAAGCAGGTTTCACTTCCAATAGCAACGAACCAGAGACCTACTACTAGGGATTCTTTAGCATAGCTATACTGCAGAGAAGCAGTGTGCTTGCGGAGACATCACACAGTTTGGCAGGACAGGGTGATAGTTGATCTACCATAATTCAGGTACAGATAGCATCAAATCAGGAGTAAGATAATATAGGCTATACTATATTATCTTACTCCTGATCAAATCAGGGACAGATCGATGGATGGTCGAGGTTGCACAGCTGCATTGTAGGGGCAGGATGGGGGAAGACTGAGACATTGCAGTTGTACAGTGATTGATAAGTAAGAACAAACACATTTTAAACTTTTAAATATGAGAAATGTGCGCTGAATAAAAGGCGTATTATTTACTCCTCGACATATTGATAAAAGAATAGATAAATGTGCACTTACATACATAGGCCCGGTGCTACGGCACAATTACAATAATTATGTTCAAAATTACACAAACATACAACCTCCTGAGCTCCTACAGATTACAGTACACATTATATACACCACTATCTGTACAAATATCTCAGCACAATTCACACACCCTACCACCATTACTGCTCATCACTGCTAGCTTATGGAGAACATAGTTGCTGGAGTAGGAACACTCCTTACCAGAAAAAAACATTCCCTATTCATACTGATCTAATTTTAGCCCATGCCATAAGTCTGGTATTGTAAGACCACCAATCCTTCTTTGCGGTATTAATTTTCACCAGATGTTGCAAACACCGATACACACTCGACTGACCCGACTGTATATGATTTACACGGTGGCCAGGTTGAAATGCAGTGAAATAAGACATCAGATTAGACATTCAGTGGGATATTATTACCAGGATACTGCTGGCACAAATTTGCATGTAGAACTTTAATATTACAGATAGTACAGCTAATACGAATTTATATACTGACTTTAACGTGACAGTTTTTGCTTGCACCTAAGCACCTAAGCACCCAAGTAGCTGTGGTTAACCACATAGCATGCAGATGGTGTGCAGTTGTGTTTGCAGTACTAGTCTGTCAGATAATAGCAGTACGAGAAGATTGAGATACAGAACGAGCTTGTACTTCTATCACAACTTTACATCTCCAGGCGCAGATGCAGAGGGGCCTCAGATGGTTACCACCCCCCCACACACATACCGCAGACCCGATTTTTCCTATAGTATACAAGGCAAAAATGCAGAGTGCGAAATTAATGCGAGTCCGGAGTCAAATACTCCGTGATTTTCTGTCGGACTCCCTCATTTCATTATGCAGTCCCGAGTCCGTGTGACTCCCTGAAAATTCTGCTATACTAACTAGTTCGTTCTAGAGCACGGCCTCGCGGAATTGCCGGATTTTTTCAGCAAATGTCCAAAGACAATTTGGCAGACGTGCAACCGCATGAATCTTCAAAATAAGCACACGTGTTATTGTTAATACATTTAGTTTTGACCTTTAAATGGCTGGCGGAATCAGGAAACACCCACTGGGCCTAAGATAAAATATTGCTTGTTTCCCCTTTACTGACCGACTCGCTCATGATAGCTGTGGGTGTGTGCTAGCAGGGAGTGCATGCTAGCTGTGTGTGTGTGCTAGCAGGGAGTGCATGCTATCTGTGGGTGTGTGGTAGCTAGGACTGCATGCTAGCTGTGGGCGTATGTTAGCCAGGAGTGCATGCTAGCCGGAGGCTTATGTTAGCTAGGAGTTTATGCTATCTGGGGGCATAAGGTACCTAGGAGCACATGCTAACTGACGTCTCCTGCTAGCCGGAAGGTGCAAACTAGTAGCCAAGGTCGCGTGCTAGTCAAGGTCGCGTGCTAGTCAAGGTCGCTTGCTAGTCAAGGTCGCGTGCTAGGGCTAGCATACACTAAGGACGAGGGTGCGGGCTCTCCGCACGCACTCCGCGCGCGCACGGACGTACCTCTGCAGCGGGCGACTGCGCTAGGGCGGTGATGCGGCTCTCCACGTCTGCTAGCTGCTCCCACAGCGCCCGGTTCTCCTCCATCAGCTCCTTGCTGCTCTGCTCGAAGTTTGCGATGACGAGCTTGTAGAGCTCCTCCTCGTGCCGGTTGCCCGAGCTGTGAGTCTTCCACGTGGCCCGCCGCGCGCCGTCCGCCCGCGGCAACGCGTTCATGATGTCCATGCCTGCAGCGAAGAGGACGCCGACGAGATTAGCGACGAAGAAAACCAGAAGAAAAGAAGACTAGAAGCGGCAACGAGGGATCGCTGGAACGTGCCCCCGTCATGGCCGCGGTACGGACACGGAATGCATAACGCTAACTACTATGTAAATGATACATGGTGATATACATCATATATTATGGTTACGCGGGATCACTGGGACGTGCACCCGTCATGGCCGCCGTACGGACACAGAATCCATAACACTAATCGCCGCGTATATGATACGTAGTGACATGTTATATTAGTGTCGTATATATTATCATATTATGTATAGACATATGATACATGACTGTGTACATGACCGTATGTATCATAGTTACACATAATATACGTGGTCATATATATTATAGTCGTAAAATATATAATATATTAATGATCATAACCATATATTATGTAATCCTGGTCTGGCTGGGTGATTGATATCTGAACTAGAGACTTGTACAGGTCGTATGTTACTGTAAGAGTCATACTAACCAAAGTTTTACATTAGCATTGCACTGATATGTTAGATAACAGTTATGTTACTTAACAGGAGGGGTAAGTTGGGCTAACGGTTAGCGCTCACAATTAAAACTCTTAAAAGATTAAAGGTCGCACGCTAAAGACACGTATCAGTCGCTAGAGGAACATCGCAAGTTAAAATTAGATGCAATGTATGCGTGTTCGTATTTTTGACCCATGTATACTACTGACAACACTGTAAGACAGCTTAAACTAAAAAACGTTTGAACTACAATTTTAAAGGCATATTCATTACTGATGCTATAATTCTGGACACTATATTGGATTCTATGCTGAATATACACAATACAGGGCCGTAGGCTGAGCAAATTCCTATGGGGGCAGTGGCGGATCCAGGATTTCAAGGAGGGGGGTGAGAAACAGGTGGGTGGTCTGGGGTCCACCCACAGAAAATTTTGAAAATGTAGATCGCAGGAGATGGTATTTGAGGCTCTTTTAGGTACATGTACAGCGTTCATTCTGACTACGACAGTTCTCTTTTAGTAGAACAATTTATTTTGTTAATTTTGCTCCAAAATCTAAGGGTGGCAGCATCTGCCCCCCTTGCTCCCCCGCAGGCTACGGCCCTGCACTAATACACTAAATTTGATGTGCATGATTGTACTACAATTATACACGTATGTGATTGCCTAGAACATGGTGGTGGTCTTCATACAGGCTTCTTTGCTACTGAGTGAGCTATCCGTATGTACTGTAGGGGTGTTTACTGACCAGCCGTGGCCTTGAATCACCATGGCCAAACAGACGGATCGGGTATATCAGTTCGGCCAGTGATGCCTGCGTGAGACTCGGCTAAATATTCATTACTCTCTAAACAAGCCTTCCGATAGCTTACCCAAAACCCAGCACGCACTTAAATAGTCAAAACAACGCTACGCAGGCAAGCGGCAACATTTATAGCTGCTGGCCCAGTTCGACACACGTGCCTCTGTAGCAGGGCATGCCTAGTAGCTGTTTCACCTACACATAAGACATGATACTTCAGCCCTACTAACTTCATCTTGAAATCCCCTATACCTTCCATCAGGCGTGACACCCCGTAACAATACATACACAATCTAGTCCAAATTCGGCACAAAACAAAACTGTCAACTCCTAACAATATATGTCAACATACAATATTAGACCAAGTACATTAGCAAGGAAATCAATCTACTATGCTTGATAATATCAAGTATATCTGTAGTAAACTCGTCTAAACAGGGGCTTTGCTACTACTGCATAGATATGTGCCTTCACACCAGCTGGTTATACTACATGAACTACCGGCAGCAGCAACACTTCAGTCTTCAGCTGACAAAGCAGGACCACGACTATAGCAGTATATGGACGACAACGGAAGGCCCGCGAAATTTTGCCAGCGCGTAGATGGCTTAACTACCGGCAGCAGCAACACTTCAGCTGACAAAGCAGGACCACGACCAAACGAGTATATGAACGGACGACAACGGAAGGCCGCGAGATTCTGGCTAACGCCCGTAGATGGCTTAACTAGAGGCAGCAGCAATACTTCGGGTGATAAAGCAGGTCCACGACAAGACGAGTATACGAACATCAACAGAAGCGCGTCGCTACGAGCATGCCGCGAGATTCTCGCAGGTATAGTAGCGCTCATAGGGTCTATGTCCCCTAGGGTACTGCCGGAACGTACCCTGGGTACGGTCCGGTATATCGGAACGGATACGCACCAGAGACAATAGAACACCACAGTTATTGATTGTCTCTGTATGCATGCGCCCTGGACTACTTCCGATAATGGCGGCGGCGGCGCTCAGTCAAAAATGCTACGATGCTCCGCTGCTACATTTTACCAAAAAAAAAAAAAAAAAAAAAAAAAATCGGATCGCTATTTTTCGATTTATTTCGATATCGATATCGACGCCAAATCCATCGCGATTTAATCGATGAGGTGGCATCGATGACAGTCCTACTGTCTTATATAGAACACTTGGCATATCCCTTGAGTAAGACTTATGCATACGGGTTTGACTGTATACATGCACCACATATCCGATTCACAAATATCACAGTCTTTATGTGAAATACGTGAGGCGAATGCAGTCGTGAGCATAGCGGATATCTCTAGAGTGTATCTTTCTGTCACTCAGGTGAAGAAGCTGCAGTCGATAGTGCAGCACAGGGACGGTCAGTACCGACACGATCTCCGGAAGCGGGAGCGGGAAACATCGCGGCTGAAGGAGAGGCTCCACCAGCTGCTGACGGACAAGAGTCAGGACAAGAGGATCGGTAAGCCGGTTATTATAGCTGAGAGGGTCTATGTCCCCCAGGGTACTGGCGGAACGTACCGCTGGGTACGGTCCGGTATACCGGAACGTATCCTGGTACTATCTAATATGCCGGACCATACCTCGCCTACTCCACTAACGAGTCTAGGGAGTCGCTACGCCTACTCCTAACCCTAACCCTAACCCTAACCCTAAGTTAACCATATCAAATAGTTACGCGAGGGTAC